ATTATATCTCCTGGGTCAAGTGGGATAGAGTACCCTGCAGCATAGCAACTAGAACATTTGGATGAATACGGAAACCATGTGAAAAACACATTGTATAGCTGCTAAGAAAAAATTGGTCTCAAGATCCAGAGATGGGAAAACATCAGAGGGGTATGCTCATGGCTATAGTAATTAACTATCGACTGTGTTCACATCATGTCCACCTCTCAGTCAGGGCAGGAGGTGTTACAGCATTATGATTGCCATGGCAGGAGAATGCTCTTTCTGAAAGAAGATTAAACATGACCTCAAATTCTGCATTTTTTCATATATTATATCTGGCATTTAGCCAGAAGTTATTAGACATTTCAATGATCCATAGAAGTGAGCAGAAAAAGAAGAGTAGGGGGAGGAGAAGGTCATAAAAACAGACCCACGCTAGGGAACGTTTCTCACCTACTTTTATACGACACCGTAATCTTGATACCAACATTCTGACAAAAAAAAAAAATTGTGAGGAAAAGATTACAGACCAAAAGGCCTTATGAATAAAAATACAAAAGTCCCTGTAAAATATGGAGGTGATCAAATCCAGCTGTCTGTATAGACTTAGGCATATTTAGAGAGGAAAGTGAAGCCAATATATAATCATACCAAGGGACGCCGAGACCCATTTGATAAAATTCTCCACACATTCATGACAAAATTATATAAAAATAAGAGAAGGGAGCAAAATTTCCTAATGTCATAAAGAATATATACCCAAACTACTTAAAGCATCATTCTCAGTGATGAAATACAAAACCTCCATCCCTTCCTACAGATCAGAAATTAAACAGGGATGTCCACTGTCACCAGTTCTCTTCAACACTGTCCTGCAATCCTGACCAGTTCAATAATACAATTAAGAGAAATTGAGGACACAAGAATTGGAAAATAAAAAATAAAACAAATAATAACCCAAACAGAAGGATAATGTACATAGAAATTCCAGATGACTCTACGAACAAATTATTAGCAATGATTAATCAACTTAGCAGGGTTACTACATATGAGGGCTTCAGAATGATAAAACCAATTATATTTCCAGATAGCAGGTATAAAGAAATGAAATGGGCATTTTAAAAGTTTATAGCAGGAACAAAGTACTAATTATTTAGAAAAAATCTGGCCAAAGGTTTGGAAACCACAGCACTGAAAACACATTACTGAGAAAATAGAAGAAAGTCCAAATAGATTGGGACCATAACCACATGCATAAATTGAAGATGTAAGGCAACAAGATGTTAATTCTTTCCAAATTGAACTATAGATTTAATATGACCCTGTTAAAACTCCCAAAGTGTGTTTTGGGTTACTGACAAAGTGATACTCTTAAAATCTATTTGAGAGTGCAAACGCTTAAGAATAGCCAAAACAATATTAAAGAGGCAGGACCAACTTGGAAGACACACACTGCCAGGAACCATGACATTTTATAAAGCTTTACAACCCCAAACAAAAGAGCACCAAGTCCATCAGGCTGCCACATGTATAAATTTTGCACTTCTCATCTTGTGTTGGTAGAGGATTGGAAGCATTCTGTGAATTTCGGGATTTTAAGAGTATGAGGTACCGTGTAGGACAAACAAGTTTACCTTGGGGATCAGGTAGTTTCTGAATTTAATGTCACGGGTCACTGCATGGGGCAAACTATTGGGGACCAGGTCAATGTATCTCTGGATCTCATGCACCACGGCATCCGTGTAGGGCATGTGACTCCTGTCCTGCATGCAGGGGCTCCGATGCCTGCCAATCACACGGTTGATCTCTTCTTGGACTTTAGCTAATAAGACACAAGTAAGAGGTGATGGAAAAACAGAAAAATGGCACATTTGTTATAACAATTATAGATTACATGAAGCAAGAAGAACGTGTCTCAACAGGATTATGTACATGAGTTATATGCACATATGTACACCTAGACTTATAATGAGAGTTGCCATAATATATATACAGACAACTCTCCTGCAAACTAGGCCTCACAATGCATTAGTACATACCTACACCTTAGCATCCAGGACAACTTAAACAAATAATAAACATAGAACGTATGTT